CCGAGAAGGTTTCACATTAAAAAAGAGATTTGGGACCCCCCGAGAAGATTTCCCATTGTTAAAACAAGACGATTAGGATCCCCGAGAAGGTTTCACATTCTTAAAAAAAACATTTGGGGCTACCGAGAAGGTTCTACATTTTTAAAAAAGACAGTTGGGATTACCGAGAAGGTTTCCCATTGTTAAAAAAAAAAAACATTTGGCGCCCCCGAGAAGGTTTTACATTTTCAAAAAAAGACAGTTGGGACCCCCGAGAAGGTTTTACATTGTCAAAAAGGGACAGTTGGGACCGCCGAGAAGGTTTCACATTAAAAAAGACATTTGGGACCCCCCGAGAAGATTTCCCATTGTTAAAACAAGACGATTAGGATCCCCGAGAAGGTTTCACATTCTTAAAAAAAAACATTTGGGGCTACCGAGAAGGTTCTACATTTTTAAAATAGACAGTTGGGACCACCGAGAAGGTTTTCCATTGTTAAAAAAAAACATTTGGCGCCCCCGAGAAGGTTTTACATTTTCAAAAAAAGACAGTTGGGACCCCCGAGAAGGTTTCACAATAAAAAAAAGACACTTGGGACCCCCGAGAAGGTTTTACATTGTCAAAAAGAGACAGTTGGGACCGCCGAGAAGGTTTCACATTAAAAAAGACATTTGGGACCCCCCGAGAAGATTTCCCATTGTTAAAACAAGACGATTAGGATCCCCGAGAAGGTTTCACATTCTTAAAAAAAACATTTGGGGCTACCGAGAAGGTTATACATTTTTAAAAAAGACAGTTGGGATTACCGAGAAGGTTTCCCATTGTTAAAAAAAAAAACATTTGGCGCCCCCGAGAAGGTTTTACATTTTCAAAAAAAGACAGTTGGGACCCCCGAGAAGGTTTCACATTAAAAAAAAGACACTTGGGACCCCCAAGAAGGTTTTACATTGTCAAAAAGAGACAGTTGGGACCGCCGAGAAGGTTTCACATTAAAAAAGAGATTTGGGACTCCCCGAGAAAATTTCCCATTGTTAAAACAAGACGATTAGGATCCCCGAGAAGGTTTCACATTCTTAAAAAAAAAACATTTGGGGCTACCGAGAAGGTTCTACATTTTTAGAAAAGACAGTTGGGACCCCCGAGAAGGTTTCACAATAAAAAAAGACACTTGGAACCCCCGAGAAGGTTTTACATTGTCAAAAAGAGACAGTTGGGACCGCCGAGAAGAGTTATGAGAATTGTGGTTGAAAAAAACCGAGCGGTGGGTTAATTCTAGCGAAAAGCCCAATTCTATCTGTTGCGCCAGTCGTGCTTGTTACGTTTTCGTTAGTTCAGTCGATAAAACGTAATTAGAGTTCTAGTAGGTCACAATACATTGTAATAAAGATTGTATCATTTTTATGTAGAACCGAATCCCACTTGCTGCGCCATTTATGCATCCCGCAGACCCCACGTCTCGGAAAACTGTGTCAGCGCTTTGGAATTTTGCACGAAAATCTGGTGTCGCTTCCCGATTAATTATCCCGTGCCATCGAGAGCTTAATCGAAGCCTGTTGCATGCACAACCCTTGATTAGATCTCCCCTTTTTCCCATTGTCTGCCAGTCAAATTAGACCCAACAATGGCATTGATCGTTCTCCACTTGTCCCATTGTCGGGAAAAAGTGTCGGCCTTGTGTGATCGTTATTAAGGCCGGTTCCGCCTCCGATCGATCACCCCAGCATAAATAATAATCGTTTCCAGGTGCGGCTCATCCAGCGAAATATGCCACATCTGGGAGTCTCGTTTCCGGAATCTCTAGATATGGCCCTGGATGAACAACAGAAACTCCTCAATACAGGTAATTGTGAGTCGAGAGTGGTCGAGATGAATGAGTTTTGTGGAACTCGTTTTCAAGGTGGACGGTCGCAGCTTTCCGTTACCATTGTCGAAGTGGGTGGGACGCCGCAACCGAGCCCCTTATCCGACCGCAGCTCTCAGCAGCTACTCGAAACGCCCCTGGACACAGGTCAGTTGCGCCCCAAATGCTCGCTTAAAACACGACCTTTGCAAGGGCCAAGCCGATCGAAGCATGTTGCGAGCGTTTTTAATAAAATTCACGAAGGGTCTAGTCCTTGGCGCTAGACGTTTCGATACAGCGTACATCTTCGGGTGGTTTTGCAGCCCCCAGCACCACCTGCTGCCAAGGCCTCAACGCCGCCTCCTTGCTCATCGAGAGCCCGCCGAAATGGGGCGAAGCCGCCCGCTACGCCTCCCGCCAGCACCGGAAGATCGCCGGCAGGGCCACATTCCAGGGGCAAGTCTACAATTTCCTGGAGCGTCCCGACAACTGGAAATGCTTCGTCTATCACATCGTCGTGTAAGTGTATTTTTAGCGCTATTTCCCGCGCCCCCGAGGATTCGCCGCGTTGTCAAATCAACTATTGATGATCGCATGAATAGTCGGAATTGCGTCAAGTCCCCAGACCGATGTTTTCGGAAATAGATAGCGACAGTGAAAATTTTATGCCGCCGGTCTTGAAATATCGCCCCCCGGGAGCGTAAGGTGATCGCGAATTAGCCCAATTAAAGTCGGGCTCGAGGAGAACCGTCGAGTGTTTTCGCAGCGCACTCAATTAAAAATCTTCGAGATGGGAAACAAAAAACCGAGGGTTTTTATCGCCGCCTCTCGCACTTGCTATTTTAATGAAAGAAATATTGCCTCTTAAAAGGAAATAGCGCTTTCATGGCGCAGCACTTTTGCGATTACGAAATGAGTGTTTCGCGCTCTTTTTCAAATTGCGAAAGCGTGACGTCAGCGTCATTGTGTGACTACTAAATATAATCCAGAAAATAAAATTTAATACCCGTTTGCTCAACAATAACGTCGGAGCCCTGTCCAAATTTACCTTCGCCGTTCGTCCCTATCAAAAATTAATCAGAAATTTCTTTCGGTCAGGAGGGTTGAATGCGCGACCTTTCCCCAAAGATAACATCGTTTTTTCGACAAAACTAATATTCCCGCACCACGTGCTGTTGTTATTTTTCCTGTTATTTTTCCATACAAGCTGTGTTTATCCAACCCTGCAATCGTTCAATATCGTATTCGTGATTATGGATCCGCGTGTAAACAGGGAATTCTTATCGAACTAATGGAAAACACTTTACGACATTTTCGCGCACATTCTTCGAATAAAGTTGAGATGTACGATGGGGGGCGTAAAAGTCGAGATTAATGGTTTTAGCGCCATCTGTCCACTGTAAATGGGGCAATAAAATTACATCGCCACTACAAGTTTATCGGTTCTGCTGAGTTTTGAGAGCTAGTAATAAAAGGGAAGAAATGACCTTTGAACTTTATTCCCAGCGGATATTTAATGGAAGCTTGGAATGATATATGATATATTAGTGCTTAAGGGGGAAACATAATACTGGAGGCGGCGGTAATTGTGCCAAGTTCGATTTCGTAGCGGTCGCCAGCGCCGACTCGAGTCCAACCCTTGAACTCGATAGGTGATCAAACTCAAATTGGATTTAAAAAGCGCCATCTGGTGACTGCGACTCATTAATTAAGCACGCTGGCGCCACCCGGCGGCCGTTTAGCAAGCCGTTCGGGTGATGCGCCGGCTACTTGATCATCATGTTTTATTCCAAAGCCCTTCAGGCGCCGCCACCGAAAATATCATTATGCAGTCCTAAAAGTTTCGTAACAAGCTACCGCACTTGTAAAACTTCCCTCAAATGTCAAATATTCAAGCGCTGCAATCCCGTTTGTTGGCGGATCCCTCCGTGTTTAGAAATTATTAGACCGGAAGGATAAAGAGATAATGCCGAATGAAATATCTTCCAGGGTATGCTTGCGTGTGCAATATCGGGGCTGTAATCGAATTATTATTGTTATCATTTTATATTGTAGCAGAGTGGAAAATTGGAGGAGTGCGTGACTGTCTCTTGTACAACACCGAATTTTTTTCGAGATTTTACGTCAAAGACAAGGGAAGTTCCGTCTAATAACTTTAGATTTTAAAACTGTCAGACTGATAAAAAACTCCGAAATTATTAAAGCGGCAATTTCACGTTATTGTTGCGCATTCAGTTTATTTTTAAACATTGTTTAATAAGTAATCAAGCCATGTTGGACTGAAACGTCAAATATTATATTCAGTCTAACCTAGATCATTCAGTTTTCTCACTAAACCCCAATTACACCAACGAAACTCAAAAAGTCGCTAGGGAATGGAAAGAAAGTGACCTTTAGACTTGTTTCAAAACGAGAAAATATTTCTAAAGCACCTACAACGAAAACAATAAGAGCTCGATATAAAAAATAGATTAACAAAAAAACACCCGTGTTTGCATACATAAATAATATTTTCGTTATTCTGTGTCGTTATTTCGTGTCGTACGAAGCCACAACTTTTTATGGTAATTATATTCAAACAAAACAATTTTAGCTTGTAGGCAACCAACATTACACCTATTAAATTTTAAACGTGTATTATAAAAAGAATACACCCCGATTAAGGAAATTGACCACTAAGATAATGAAGAGGGTTCAAATCACACAAAGGGTGAACGTCAAGTTACGAAAACAAACACCCCTTTAGTGTTTATTATGAATTTTTTAACACACTGTTGCATATTTTATGTTCTGTGATGATTCGTAGGATCTTTACATGTACGAAATTGGTTGCCAACCAAATTACTAGATTTACATGGCCTACTCCATCCTAGACGGTATATAATTTCTGCGCCCTCTACCGCTCGCTCTGACACTACTTTGTTGCACTATAAACCAGCGCCCTCTCGCGCTTAAAAATTTCCCCCTGCCCCCATCCAATAATAATAATGTTGACACTAATAACCGCAAGTAGCCCATTACCCCCTCCCGTCCTACCGTTTAAAGTCGACCTACCTGATTTGATTCCGCTTTGGCTTAGATCGATGTGATGGAGAGCGTCGTCGTGTTGTGAACGCCGTCGGCGGCGTCGTCCCCTGCGCGAGCCGAACCAACAGTTGGTTTCCAGACGCGCTAGTGGCCGCCGCGCCGCTCCTCGCCGCCGCCGCCGTTTTGATGCGTGAGTGTGTATGAGTACCTTCGCACGGGCGACCATCGCTTGTTTCGTCGATAAATCGGGGGCCCGACGGCCCCCCGCGCCGCCCTAAGATTGGCGGAGGCGCCGGGACAGCGCCTACGGGCGATGATCACACAGGTATTGGTGGGACGGTGTGTGATGTGATGTGACGTGATGGGACGCGGGAAACGGGAGGGAGTTTTAATAACTGTCAAGAAGGGGCTTTTTATTGAAATCGGAGATGTATTGTTTTTGGGGTGGCGGAGATGACGGGCTGTTGAGGTTAGGTGTCAATAAGGTGTCTTAGGATGACACGTGATGCGGGAGGCTGGAGATCATTGGGTTTAAGTTATGACAATGGGGACGGTCGGGTGGCGGTTAATTAAGAGTCACGTGCAAGCGGTTTTGTTTGGGGGCGGCTAAATCTGACACCGGTTCTTTGTTACGGGAACAGACGGAGAAACTCACGTTTTTATTAAATATTCATCAGATATTTTAATCAATATTGTAGGAACTTATTTTGTTTGTTATAACCTTGACTGGAATTGCATTAAAAACATTGTAGGGTGGTACTTATTAAACCAACTGTCAAATGTAATTTTATTTATCACAACGAATTGGCGCGTAGATTGAAGCAATCTTTACACTTATTAGCTCTAGAATGTATTTTAATTAGGTCTATAGTTGCTGGTAGACTTATAATGACTGCAATCGCGTGAAAGAATTTGTCTGCATAGCGGCAAATAAGTCACTACTGCAGTGGAATTAGACCTCATGCAAGTCAAAAAAGTTCAACGGCCACTTTTAAAACTATACACACTTTTTTTTTAACAATTTCCGAAGATTCGAAATTCTTATTTTTCCAAGTTTATTTTTTTTTTAATTTGCCGCTTCGTCCAAAGAAAATTATAATCAAGTTGTTGACATTACGTGGTAGCCAATAGCGTAGCTTGCCTGTAGTAAAAGATCACGTAAAAGGTGAGCGGCAAAATTGAAACATCGTAAATTAGCGGTGGCAGTTCGATTAAGAGAAAAAAATACGAAAACAATCAATCGTGGCGCTTCCTATTATTATCACATTCTCATGTCACGATACAATAATTCTCAAGGTATGATACTCGTGCGGCTCAAAATGAAAATTGTGACGTCACTGTTCGCACAGTGACGTCACTCAAAGAGTAGGGCTGTAAGGATTTCAATACAAGAGCACGTTTTGTTGTCAAATTTTGCACACATGTTAGAAATATCATGTAGATGGTTAAATACTAACCAAAATTTGGCTAATTATGCCTACCAACAATTTGATGACGTCATCTCCAAAGTTTATAATTAAAAGTTTTTTTAATTTGATAAAATAAGATATTGTACTACTAGTGAAGGCAACTTTTAAAAAGTTAAAATTTTTTAAAGAATTCGACCGGTTTTTCGAAGTCACCTTTTTTTATCAAACGTAAATAAGGTTTCGGCCAAGAAAAGTTACCATTTAAAAACACCTAAAATTCGTCTTTTTCCCCCGTTTTTTCTGTTGGGTCATTTCAGCACATATGAATCCGATTTCGACCAAAAACCACCTTTTAAAAACACTTGAATTTTAAAGCTTTTGAGAACACAATTTTTAAGAAATTTACCCTGTTTTTCCAAATGTAGCCTTTCAAAAAAGTCAACATTTCAAGGAAAGTTCCCAAACAAGAATACGATATCGCCCAAACAAATTTGTAGTAGTTAGTACTTGCTCAGATAAGACTGATTTTGGCAAATCACATATCTTCTAAAAAAACAGAGGGTGGGTGGGTGGGGCCAGTACTTGATGAGATTAGACTGATTTTGGAAAAAGACATACCCTCTAAGAAAGTAAAGGGTGGGTGGGAGGGCTAGTACTTGCTAAGATAAATAAGATACTGTTGTACTTGTGGTGTGTGAATTCGTGTCGAGTTTTCACCCTAGACATTCAGAATTTAAACAAAAAAAATTTAAAACTGAATAGAATTATTTCTATATAACTTTTTTTACCTCCTCTCTATTTACTCAGAAGGCATTTGCCAAAATTAGTCTTATCTTAACGAGTGCTAGCCCCGCCCACCCGCCCTCTATTTTCTCACGGGATATGTGATTTGCCAAAATCAGTCTTATCTGAGCAAGCACTAGCCCCGCCCACCCGCCCCTGTTTTCTCAGAGGATATGTTATTTGCCAAAAAAGACTTATCTTAGCAAGTACTGGCAAGTACTACCCTCTGAGGAAATAAAGGGCGAGGCTAGTACTTATAACATGTATTGTTTTGGTAAATGACATCCTCTGAGAAAAAAGGGGCGGGTGGGTGTGGCTAGTACTTAGTAAGATAAAACTGATTTTGGCAAATCACAGATCCTCTAAGAAAAGAGAGGGTGGGTGGGTGGGGCCAGTACTTGGTAAGATAAGACTGATTTTGGCAGATGACATCCTCTAAGAAAAGAGAGGGTGGGTGGGTGGGGCTAGTACTGATAAGATAAAACTGATTTTCCCCCTATTAATCTTATGAAAACTTGTGAAATTTAAAGGTATTAAATTGCAAATTTCCATAGTAACGAGTTAAATTCCTAAATCTACCCGAAATGTGCAAAACTTACGATGAGTTTTTGCTTGTGATTTATCATTGCATTCATAATTTTAGATTTGCTTATACAGGGGGCTCAAAGAAATTAAGGTATGAGTCAATTTATTTTATTGATTAAATCAGGAACGGTTCACTCCATTTTTCCCGAAAATTTTGGGAATACAATACGTATTTTTAGTATTACAGTGCAGTTTTTCAGTTTTTCCACTTTTCGATTTCTCAGCTTCTCAATTTCTCAATTTTTCAGTTTTTAAGGTTTTTGATTTTTGATTTTTAAATTTTCGATTTTTCGATTCTGCAGGTTTTTGACTTTTCGAGTTTTGCAATTTTCAAATTTTCGATTTTTCAAGTTTCGGCATCTCAATTTTTCGATATGTCCAGAATTGAGGTTTTTCAGTTTTTTACTCTTGAATTTTTCGTTTTCATTTTTTCAGTCAACAGTTTTTCGATTCTCCAAATTTTCGATTTCTATGTCTTTTCATTTTTCGATTTCTCAATTTTCCAATGTTTGAGTTTTACAATTTTTCAGTTTTCCGATTTTTCAATTTTTGACGTTCCTAAATTTTCATTTTTTCGTTGCTCAGTGAATCGATTTTTTGGTTTTTCGACTTTTTGGTTTCCCGACTTCTTGGTTTCTCGATTTTTCAGTTTTTCAATTCTTCAATGATTCAGGTTTTTGATTTTTCAGTTTTTTGATTTTTTAAATTTTCGATTTTTCGACTTTTCAATTTTTCGATTTCTCACTTTATCGATCTTTCATTTGACATTTTTTAATTTTTGATTTCTCTAATTTGTCATTTTCGATTTCTCAATTTTCCGATGTTTCAGTTTTTCGATTCTTCAATTTTTCAATTTTTGTCCAGCATAAATTTTCGATTTTTCTCTGTTATTTCTGGATTAATTAATTTTTTCTTTCATTTTTCAGTTTTTCGATATTTCAGTTTTGGGATTTTTCAATATTTCTGTTCTTCGACTTTTTACTTTTTTGATTTTTAAATTTTAGATTTCTCAATTATTTTGTATTTTAATTTTTCAATATTTAAAATTTTCGATTTTTCGATTTCTCGATGTTTCATTTCAGCTCTTCCATATTTCAATTTTTCAAATGTTTCGATTTCTTAATCTATCGATTTTTCGACTTCCCGGTTTTGGATTTTCTGTTTTTCAGTTGTCGTTTTTTCAAATTTTCGATTTTTCAATTTTTCAAATTTGACATTTAAACTGTCAATTTTTCGATTTTTCAATTAATCGATATTTTGATTTTCCCATTTCTTGACTTTCGAGGGTTTCGATATTCCTGTTCTTCAATTATTTAATTTTTCCATTTTTAATTTTTTGTTTTTTTAAGGTTTCGATTTTTCGACTTCAGTTTTTGGATTTTTCGGTTGCTCAATTTTTCGATGTCTCGATTTTTCATTTCAATTCTTCAATTTTTCAAATTCTCAATTTTTCTTCAATTTTTAGATATTTCAGTGTTGGGATTTTCCAATTTTTCGATTCTTCAAATTTTCGTTTCTTCTTTTTTTTTGTTTTTTTGTGTTTCAATTTTTGACGTTGTTAAATTTCCGTTTTTTCGTTTCTCAATGAATAGATTTTTGGTTTTTCTACTTTTTGATTTCTCGACTTCTCGGTTCCTCGATTTTTCAGTTTTTCAATTCTTTGACTTTTATGAACTCTTTATTTGGCGATTTTTCAATTAATTGATTTTTCAGGTTTTTTGGTTTTGCAGTTTTTCTATTTTTTCGGGTTTCGATTTTTCAACTTCACTTTTTTGATTTTTCGATTTCTCAATTTTTCAATTTTTTTATTTCTCAGTTTTTGAACATTTCAGTTTTGGGATTTTTTTTAGTTTACTTATTATTCAATTTTTCGATCTTACGATTTTGCAGGTTTTTGATTTTTCAATTTTTCAATTTTTTTAAGGTTTCGATATTTCGACTTCACTTTTTGGATTTTTCGATTTCTCAATTTTTCGGTTCTTTAGGTTCTCAGTTTTGCGATATTTCAGTTTTGGGATTTTTCAATATTTCTGTTCTTCGACTTTTCCATTTTTGACTTCTGGATTTTTCGATGTGTTGACTTTTTGCTTTTCCGATTTTTAAATTTTAAATTTCTCAATTTTTTAGTATTTTAATTTTTCAATTGTTTTGATTTCTTAATCTATCGGTTTTTCGACTTCCCGGTTTTAGATTTTCTGTTTTTCAATTGTAGTATTTTCAATTTTTCGATTTTCCAATTAATCAATGTTTTGATTTTACCATTTCTTGATTTTTCGAGGGATTCCTGTTCTTCAATTCATTCATTTTTCGATTTTTCATTTTTTAGTTTTTTTATGGTTTCGATTTGTCGACTTCACTTTTTGGATTTTTCGATTGCTGAATTTTTCGACATTTTAGGTTCTCAGTTTTTGGATATTTCAGTTTTCGGATTTTTCAGGTTATTAGATTGTCAGTTTTTCCTTCATTTTTCAGTTTTTCGATATCTCAGTTTTGGGATTTTTCAATATTTCGATTCTTCGACTTTTCGATTTTTGACTCCTGGATTTTTCGATTTGTCGATTTTTAAATTTTAGATTTTTTAATTTTTAAAATTTTACAATTTTTGATTTTCGACTTCCCGGTTTTAGATTTTTTGTTTTTCAATTGTCATTTTGTCAAATTTTCCATTTTTTAATTTTTCAGATTTGACTTACATAAACTCTCAATTTTTTGATTATTTTGATTAAACGATGTTTTGATTTTCCCATTTTTTGACCTTCGAGAGTTTCAATTTTCCTGTTCTTCAGTTCTTTAATTTTTGATTTTTAATGTTTTTGATTTTTCAGTTTTTCGATTTTTTAAGGTTTCTATTTTTCGACTTCACTTTTTGATTTTTCAATTTTTCAGTTTTTAGATATTTCAGTTTTAGGATTTTTCAATATTTCAATTCTTCAGCTTTTCTATTTTTGACTTCTGATATTTCGATGTGTCTACCTTTTTACTTTTTCGATTTTTCAATTTTTGGATTTTTAAATTTTAGATTTTTTAATCTTCTGATATTTTAATTTTTTAATATTTCTTAATCTTTCGATTTTTCGACTTCCTGGTTTTAGATGTTCTGTTTTTCAATTTTTCGATTTGTTAATTTTTCATTCCCGATTTATCAAGATTTGATTGTTCAGGTTTTCAATTGTTCAGTTTTTCAATTTTTTATTTTGGCCTATTTCGGTTTCTTAGTTTTTCCAGTTTTCCATTTTGTCGTTTTTTGATTTTCTGCTTTTCCAATTTTTCAACTTTTAACTTTTTGTTTGTCGACTTCTCTATTTTTCGATGTTTCGACTTCATCATTTTTCGATTTCTCGTTCTTTTGATCGTTCAATCTCTCAATTTTCCAAGTTTCGAATTTTTAAGTTTTTTGATTTCTCGATTTATCGAGATTCGGATTTTTCGATATTTTGATTGTCAATTTCTCAATTTATAAATCGTTCAATTTTTAGCTTTTAGATTTTTCGATTTTGACCTATTTCGGTTTCTCAATTGTTCGACTTTTCGACTCCACGATTTCTTGATCTTTTGATTCTTCGGTTTTTCGATATTCCAGTTTTTCGATGTTTCGATTTTTCAGTTATCCGATTTTTTAAATTTGGGAGTTTCGATTTTTCGTTATTCGGTTTTTAGATTTTAGATTTTTGAATTTTACATTTTTTCGATTTTCTGATGTTTCATTTTTCGATTTTCAGTTCTTCGATTTTTCGATTTTTCAAAGGTTTCGATTTCTTAATCTTTTGATTTTTCGACTTCCTCGTTTTGGACTTTGTGTTTTTCAACTGTCATTTTGTCAAATTTTCGATTTTTAATTTTTCAAATTTGACTTTCATAAACTCTCAATTTTTTGATTTTTCAGTTAAACGATGTTTTGATTTTTCCATTTCTTGACCTTCGAGTGTTTCAATTTTCCAGTTCTTCAGTTCTTTAATTTTTGATTTTTCGTCTTTTTGGATTTTTCAATATTTCAATTCTTCGGCTTTTCTATTTTTGACTTCTGGATTTTTCGTTTTTTTTTTACTTTTTCGATTTTTCAATTTTTGGATTTTTAAATTTTAGATTTTTCATTCTTTTGATATTTTAATTTTTTAATATTTCTTAATCTTTCAATTTTTCGACTTCCTGGTTTCAGATGTTCTGTTTTTCAATTTTTCGATTTGTTAATTTTTCATTCCCGATTTATCGAGATTTGATTCTTCAGTTGTTCCAGTTTTCCATTTCTTCGTTTTTTGATTTTTCCGCTTTTCCAATTTTTCAACTTTTAACTTTTTGTTTGTCGATTTCTCTATTTTTCGATTTTTCGACTTCATCACTTTTCGATTTCTCGTTCTTTTGATCTTTCAATCTCTCAATTTTTCAAATTTTTAAGTTTTTTGATTTCTCGATTTATCGAGATTTGGACTTTTCGATATTTTGATTGTCAATTTCTCAATTTATAAATTGTTCAATTTTTAACTTTTCGATTTTTCGATTTTGGCCTATTTCGGTTTCTCAATTGTTTGACTTTTCGACTCCACGATTTTTTGATCTTTTGATTTTTCGATTTCTCGGTTTTTCGATATTTCGATTTTTCAATATTTCGATTTTTCGATTATTAGATTTCTCGATTATTTTAATTTTTCATTTTTTTTTCTCACTGTTAATATCATATAGTGTATCGAAAACAACCACAAAAATTATCACTAAAAACATTTAAAAATTCATACAAAATAGAATACAGTGTTTCCAAAATATTTTCCCGAAAAAAATCCATAGGGTTATTACGATTTCAATACTAAAATTTAAATTTGGCGGTTGAGGACTCCAATCTCAATAAGGGTGGTTTTGCAAAATCAGCCTGATGTCGCATCTACATTAATCTATGCTCTTGTTTACTCTCTCTGTGACGTCACTCTCCCCCTCCACGCGTGCGCAGTATCATACCTGTTATTTATTGCATCGCGCCCTCATGTCACTCGTCAGGAGTCAAAAGTTAGGTTAGAATCCCTTTTTTCTAGCTCCTCCCCCAAATCTAACCTGACTCTCGGTTCCTGGCCAGCGCCATGAGAAACGAAGTATGCCTCCGCCGCCGCCGCCGCCGCCCTTCCTCACCCGCCTCCGCCCCACAGACCACAGCATGCCCTCCGTAGAATGAGCCGTCTCGCGACCTCCGACATCCCGGTCGCAAATGCTGTCATTAGTGATGTTCCGCGAGATGAATCGGTCTGAACAGGAGAGTCTGTACCGCACGTCGCGTAAACTCAGCCTGGTGCCCATCGGGAGCGGGCACTTCGAGGCGAAGCCCGAGCCCGCCGACGACCTGGTGTTGAGCGTGCTCAAGAGTCCCGTGAACCACGTGGGCGCGGCGCGCGACGACCCCGACGAGGAGGCCGAGTGCTCGGAGCGGCTGCCGTTCCTGCAGCGCCTCCGCGGCCACAAGCGCTTCGGGGAGGCGCACCACAAGCGCGTGCCGACGCCGCTCAAGCGCAAGCAGAGGTTCAAGAGCCACAAGAACGACGTGGTGCAGCCGGAGGATGTCGTCGACGAGGAGGACGACGACGACGTGGAGGCCGCGGGCGACACGCCGAGGGGCGTGCCGGACCCGTACTACCCGATCTATCTGCCGATCGACCAGGCGTTCAAGGCCAAGTACGTGTTCCACCACAAGAAGGGCAAGACGTGCCAGGAGAGGACGTACGTGTTCCTGGAGCATCCAGGAGGGTGGCTGTGTTTTATCTACCATTTCACCGTGTAAGTGGGGGTGGACTTCGGACGAACTAGGTTATGCGTGGCTGTAATAGCGGCTTTCGAGGCTCGTAAAACTACAGTTTTACGGCTTGATCGACAGGGTAAGGTCTCACTTTGTTGGCTAGGCCGAAAAGGGAGTTGCTTTTATGCGTGGAACATAAGGAGATAAAGAACACATGACAGGACTTGAGCATATTATGGCGATGTCAAACTTATTCATTTTTATCTGGCGCGCGCAAGCTAGGGAAGTATTGTAATTGAGTCCATTGGCTACTTTTATGTCTTCTAGACGTTTTATGACCTCTAGAGTACGAATAAATAGGTCTCCCGTTTCCGTCTGTCCAGAGACAGATAATCTCCGAAACTACCGAGCTGATTATTGCACCAAATTTTGAATGTATATTAGGAATATAATGTCACTAGGTATCGAGATTTTTGGAAGAAAAATCAAATTGTTCAGCTTTAATTTTTAGTTTTTCGATTTTTCGATTTTTCAGTTCCTCAATTCTCAATTTTTTAACTTCTCGATTTTCAATTATTTAGATTTTCGATTATCCTGGTTTTTGATTTTTTAATTTTTGACTTTCAAAATTTTTGATTTTTCAACTTTCGATTTCTCAATTTTTTGTTATTTCCAGTATTACGAGAATGTCCCGATTTTGAATTTTTCGGTTACTCAGTTTTTCGATTTTTTTATTTTTTTCATATTTTGATTTCTCAATTTTCCGATGTTTCAGTTTTACGATTTTTCAATTTTTCAATTTCTCAATTATTCAATTTCGCGATATTTAAGTTTTGGGGGTTTTCAATATTATGATCTCTCAATTTATGGACTTTACCAATTTTTCGATGTCTCGATATTTTACTTTTTTATTTCTTTTTTTCAGTTTTTCGTTTCATCACCTTTTCTTCAATTTTTAAATTTTTTGGATATTTCAGTTTCGGGTTTTTTTAATTTTCCGATTCTTCATTTTTTTTTACTTTTTCATTTTTCAATTTTTGACGTTCTTAAATTTTCGATTTTTTGGTTTTTCGACTTTTCGATTTTTCAATTTGTCGAATTTTCGGATTTTATTTTTCATTTTTCAATTTTTAAATTTTCTATTTTCCGACTTCGATTTTTCAACTTTTCGATGTCTCGATTTTTCATTTCAATTCTTCAATTTTTCAATTTCTCAATGTTTCTTCAATTTTTAGATATTTCACTGTTGGGATTTTCCAATTTTTCGATTCTTCAAATTTTCGTTTTTTCTTTTTTTTTTATTTTTAACGTTGTGAAATTTTCGTTTTGTCGTTTCTCAATTAATCGCTTTTTGGTTTTTCGACTTTTCGATTTCTCGACTTCTTGGTTCCTCGCTTTTTCAGTTTTTCAATCTTCAATTTTTTTGGTTTTTGATTTTTCAGTTTTTTGATTTTTAAAATTTTCGATTTTTCGACTTTACAATTTTTCGATTTCTCATTTTACCGATCTTTCATTTGACATTTTTTAATTTTTGATTTCTCTAATTTGTCATTTTCGATTTCTCAATTTTCCGATGTTTCAGTTTTTCGATTCTTCAATTTTTCAACTTTTAAATTTCATGATTTTTCAATTTTTGGACTTTCCAGTTTTTCGTTGTCTTAGTATTAAAATTTTTCGGTTTCCTAATTTTTGGTAATTTCACTTTTGGAATTTTTCAATTTTTCGATTTTCCTGGTTTTTGATTTTTTAATTTTTGACTTTCAAATTTTTGATTTTTCAACTTTCGATTTCTCAATTGTTCGATATTTCCAGTATTACGAGATTATTTAGTTTTTCAATGCTTTAATTTTCCGATTTTTGAGTTCCTCGATTTTCGATTTTCCAATGTCTCGATTTTGAATTTTTCGGTTACTCAGTTTTTCGATTTTTCTATTTTTTTCATATTTTGATTTCTCAATTTTCCGTTGTTTCAATTTTACGATTTTTCAATTTTTCGAGTTTTCGATTTTTTTATTTTTCAATTTTTAAATTTTCTATTTTTCGACTTCGATTTTTCAGCTTTTGGATGTCTCGATTTTTAATCTTTCAGTTTTTCAATTTCTTAATTTTTCTTTAGTTTTTCGATATTTCAGTGTTAGGATTGTCCAATTTTTCGATTCTTCAAATTTTGGTTTCATCTTTTTTTATTTTTTCAATTTCTCAATTATTCAATTTCGCGATATTTAAGTTTTGGAGGTTTTCAATATTCGATCTCTCAATTTATGGACTTTCCAATTTTCCGATGTCTCGATATTTTACTTTTTTTATTTCTTTTTTTCAGTTTTTCGTGTCATCAACTTTTCTTCAATTTTTCAATTTTTCGATATTTCAGTTCCGGATTTTTATAATTTTCCGATTCTTCATTTTTTTTACTTTTTCATTTTTCAATTTTTGACGTTCTTAAATTTTGGTTTTTTCGTTTTTCAATTAATCTATTTTTTTGGTTTTTCGACTTTTCGATTTTTCAATTTGTCGAATTTTCAGAATTTATTTTTCATTTTTCAATTTTTAAATTTTCTATTTTCCGACTTCGATTTTTCAACTTTTCGATTTCTCTACTCCTCGGTTCCTCGATTTTTCAGTTTTTCAATTCTTCAATTTTTCTGGTTTTTAATTTTTTAAATTTTCGATTTTTCATTTTACCGATCTTTCAGTTTTGACTTTTTTCAATTTTTCCATTTCTCTAATTTGTCATTTATCTATTTCTCAATTTTCCCATGTTTATGTTTTACTTTTTTTCAGTTTTTCGATTTCTCAATTTTTCAATTTTTAATTTAATAATTTTTCAATTTTTAACTATCATAAATTTTCGATCTTTCGAGCTATTATTTCTTGATTAATTAATTGTTTGGTTTTTCAACTTTTCGAGTTCTCGACTTCTCGATTTCTTGATTTTTCAATTATTCAGTCTTTCAGTTTTTTAATTTTCTGATTTGTCAGATTTTTGATTTTTCAGTTTTTCAACTTTTCAATTTCTCAATTTTTCTTCAATTTGTCAATTTCGCGACTTTTCTGTTTTTTAATTTCTCAATTTTTCGATATCTCATTTTAGTGATCTGTCAGTTTTGAGATTTTTCAATTTTTCGATTCTTCGATTTTTCGATATTTGAATTTAGGGATTTTTCAATATTTCGATTTTTCAACTTTTCAATTTTTCGATTTCAATTTCTCGATTGTTTACTTTCTCAATTTTTGAATTGAAGTTTTTTTATATTTCGATTTTTTCAAGTGTCGATTTTCGATTTTTCAATTTTTCCGTTTTTCAATTTTTCGATTTCTCGATATTTTACTTTTTCGATTTTTTGATATTTGGATGTTTTAATTTTTCAGTTTTTGATCTTAAATTTTTCATATTTCGTTTCTCGATTAATTGAACTTTTGGTTTTTCGGCTTTTTGAATTTCCAATTTTTTCGTTTATCAGGTTTTTGATCTTTCAACTTTTCAATTTTGAAAATTTTCGTCATTTCGAGTTCAATTTTTGACTTTTGATTTCTCAGTTTTTCAATTTTTCGATTTTTAGCTTTTCGATTTTTCAGTTTCTCAACTTTTCTTCAATTTGTCAATTTCGCGACTTTTCTGTTTCTTAATTTCTCAATTTTTCGATATCTCATTTTACCGATCTATCAGTTTTGAGATTTTTCAATTTTTCGATTCTTCGATTTTTTGATATTTCAATTTAGGGATTTTTCAATATTTCGATTTTTCGATTTCAATTTCTCGATTGTTTACTTTTCTCAATTTTTAAATTTAAGTTTCTTTATATTTCCATTTTTCCAAGTGTCGATTTTCGATTTTTCAATTTTTCAGTTTTTCAATTTTTCGATTTCTCGATATTTTACTTTTGCGATTTTTTGATATTTCGATGTTTTAATTTTTCAGTTTTTGATCTTAAATTTTTGATACTTCGTTTCTCGATTAATCGAACTTTTGGTTTTTCGGCTTTTTGAATTTCCAATTTTTTCGTTTATCAGGTTTTTGATCTTTCAACTTTTCAATTCTGAAAATTTTCGTCATTTCGAGTTCAATTTTTGACTTTTGATTTCTCAGTTTTTCAATTTTTCGATTTTTAGCTTTTCGATTTTTCAAGTTCTCAATTTTTCTTCAATTTGTCAATTTCGCGACTTTTCTGTTTCTTAATTTCTCAATTTTTCGATATCTCATTTTACCGATCTATCAGTTTTGAGATTTTTCAATTTTTCGATTCTTCGATTTGTTGATATTTCAATTTAGGGATTTTTCAATATTTCGAATTTTCGATTTCAATTACTCGATTGTTTACTTTTCTCAATTTTTAAATTTAAGTTTCTTTATATTTCCATTTTTCCAAGTGTCGATTTTCGATTTTTCAATTTTTCAGTTTTTCAATTTTTCCATTTCTCGATATTTTACTTTTTCGATTTTTTGATATTTCGATTTTTTAATTTTTCAGTTTTTGATCTTAAATTTTTGATACTTCGTTTCTCGATTAATCGAACTTTTGGTTTTTCGGCTTTTTGAATTTTCAATTTTTTCGTTAATCAGGTTTTTGATCTTTCAACTTTTCAATTTTGAAAATTTTCGTCATTTCGAGTTCAATTTTTGACTTTTGGTTTCTCAGTTTTTCAACTTTTCGATTTTTAGCTTTTCGATTTTTCAATTTCTCAATTTTTCTTCAATTTGTCAATTTCGCGACTTTTCTGTTTCTTAATTTCTCAATTTTTCGATACCTCATTTTACCGATCTGTCAGTTTTGAGATTTTTCAATTTTTCGATTCTTCGATTTTTTGATATTTCAATTTAGGGATTTTTCAATATTTCGATTTTTCAACTTTTCGATTTTTCGTTTTCAATTTCTCGATTGTTTATTTTCTCAATTTTTAAATTTAAGTTTCTTTATATTTCCATTTTTCCAAGTGTCGATTTTCGATTTTTCAATTTTTCAGTTTTTCAATATTTCGATTTCTCGATATTTTATTTTTTCGATTTTTTGATACTTCGTTTCTCGATTAATCGAAATTTTGG